CAGATTTGCAACAGCTAAATGCCACTTAGCTAATTACTCCACATCCATATTTTAAGAGTTTTTGTTACTCAGAAGTACAACAGAAGGACTTTGTTTTGCATTTGCAACAAACAGTTTCTCTCCAGCTCACCAGATGGCACTGCTGACTCACTTTCAACATGACTGAGTCCTTGGTGTCACTGAAACAGATTTTCTAAGCACCAATTTCATATATGTATCAGTACCAATTTCCATTATTTTGAAATCAATACTACATAAGATTAATCATGAATGTGTATAGATATGACACGTGCCAATTAGTAGATTTTATCTCCTCTGGGTTTTTCACCAGAGGCATCTCAATTTCAATGTTGTGGATTTGCAATGTGTGCCCAAACAGGTACCACTGGATGCTACATGATTTATCTACTATTTTCCTATATTTTGAGCAACAGTTTAACAGAAACGGCCTTCTCAAGAGGTTTTGAGATATCGTTGAAGAAAAAGTTTGAGAAAAGTTGCCTCTAATTTTGTGAGAGAAAATATTTTTTCGAATTTCGTTTTGTACATTTTTGGTTTGTGACATTCAAATAAAGTTAACATTCATATCAGATTCAGTCTTCAGTGTTAATTTACCACTCCGGGCCACTGTTGCAAATCTGTAACATCCCAGAATTCATTGCATGTGAAGGTCTCTCAAACAAAAAAAAAGTCTGAATTCTATATTACTACCCCATATGATCAATTTCTCCAAATATCAGTTTTTTCCTGCACCTACAACTTAATTTGAGCCCGAGAGGGTTACTCCAAAGATCAATCAGAGGCGTAGCCAGAACATTTTTTTATTAGGGGGGCCAGTCAATGACCAATGTATAGTACTGAGGGGGGGGGGCCGAAAGCAGATAGGCACCAGAACCTCAGGGTCAATCTACACGGTTCCAACAGGAAAATTAATGAGCAAAACATCCATATTTTCTAGATAACTACAAACAATATTTTCCCACAGCCTTTGCAAACAAATAAACAAATATATTCAAACATCCATCTAGGTAAAAGGTATAGTGGATAAAATTCTTTCAGGTTTAAGTCTTGGGCGAACATCTCTTCTTTTGTCATTACTTGCCTACTTTTATCAATATCATTCTGCATAAAATTGATATTTACAAGTACTCATATCTTGATAAATTAATTATTTAATACGTTTTTATTAAAGTACTTATTTATCTATGATTTCACTTAAGACTCCTAGATGATTTGCAGAGACACATCATTTTCTCTTTACCCCACAGAACACAAAATCTATTTCTGCTTGAATTCTGTATTTAGCATCTTAATGTTGGTAATATTGATGTGCATAATTATCCACAGTGTTTTTGTTGTCAAGTAATTAATATAGGAAAAATGAAAATGTTTTGAATATTCCACTTGAGACTATACTGTTGCTTCTATCTGTATTAGAGGGAAATAAATGGTACGGTTGCCACAGGGGTGGCCAATGATTAGCTGAGGGTGGCCATGGACCCCATCTAACTCTGCCCCTGAGATCAATCTGCTTGAGTGGGATTTTATGGAAATGAAAATAGCATATTTGGGAAAGATACACATTGTTTGTAGAATTAGAAAAATCTGAAGGATGTTGTCAGTTGTGGTTTTGGACAAAACTTACCAGAGGGAATGGGGTGGGGCAAGAGAGAATGTTTTTGTCCAGTGTTTCCCATACTTTTTTTTTTGTTTTGTTTTTGTTTTTTTACCTGTGAATTTTGTCTTACAATGAGCTGTCATCTAAAAGTATTGTGAATTGCCCAAAAGTGGAATGTAAAATAATTAATTGTAAAATGAATAAATTTTTACATAATCTTTTAATTCTTAGGCATTTTATGCTTTCCATCTCAAATAAAAGAACAACATTAATGTGTTGCCTGGAAGTTAGTAAGGAATCAAAATAAAATCCTATTATAAACCTGTTTTTTTTTTTAACTGGAGCTCCTCTGAATAACTCCCTTATAATCACATTTCTGCATGAATGGGGAACAAAATACAAAACAAAAATTATAGTCCATGAATTAATTAGTTTATTTTGTTTTCATCAAGACACCTGAGCTGCTTTGATGAGCTCTGATAGCTCAGTGTGAAAAACAGCTTATACCAGACTGATCTCTACACTCTACAGAGTGTAAAACCTGAAGGTGAACCAAAAAATATCAAAAAAGAACTTAGTTTATGGTTGATAAAAGCTTGTTTAGTTTTTCCAAATTGGTCCACAGAAAGCAAAACAGATCCCAACCCTATTTTATTTCTCTACCTAAGAAAATTAAATATTTTAATGTACCTCTTGCAATGCACTCGCGGACCAGGGAGTGCTCGTAGGAGTGCTCGTACCTCTGGTTGGGAATCACTGCTTTAGGCACAAACCTGTATTTTAAGTTGTGTGTAATTTTTTAATAATTGCTCAAGTAAATTGTAAGGGTGAAATATTAGTATTGGTTTGTCAGCACACATATAATCATAAGAGACTGATTTATCATCACAGTCTTGCCACAGTCCAAAAACATAATTCTTAAATGCTAATTCATGATGCTTCTCTAAATGCTCCTTAGGTGTGTGTTTGTGCAGGAATGGTTGTTTGTCCTGTTTGTCACTGTGTTGCCCTGCGATGGACTGGCGACCTGTCCAGGGTGAACCCCGCCTCTCACCCGTAGACAGCTGGAGATGGACACCAGCTGGGATAAGCATGACAGAAAATGGATAGGGTATTTGCTCTTGATTTGAAGGAGGATTTTGGCCCTTAAAAACAAAATAATTTTTGTACAATACACTTGAAATAAGACAATAGTTGTTTTTAGTTGTTAATAACATAAATCATCTTATTCCATCTATAGATTGTCTGATACCTACCTGCAGTGTTGTGCACAGGTAAGTAGGGGCAGGTGCTCAGCTTGGAAAAAGGGCACCTTATGGGTCACATGGAGCCGCCAACATCCAAACAAAGCCTAAAGCTGACGTTTAAAGGATCTTCTGCAGTCCTTGGGTAGAAATGCCACATTGGTGTCAATTAAATAAATAACAATGCCACATATTTTATGGAGCAAAATTATAAAAATCTAAATTTTTGATTGGCTTTTAGTTTCATAAACAGTATTTTGGGCTTAAAGACTTAAAGAGGGGAAAGGGGCAGCTGTTCTAGCACCACCTAGTGTCTATCTGTGCACATTTCTGCATACCTGCTTGATTGAAGTTATAATATACATCTATTTCAAGAAAAATTTACTTATTTTAAATATTTACATTTTTGCAATCATATTTTCAGTAGAAGGTTCATAACAGAGGCCAGGACCAGTTCTACAGTGGCACTGGCCCCTGATGGCCCCCCTAGAATGTCCCATGGTTGTGGTATTTTTAAGTCTCCCTGAGTCAGTACTATATATAAGCACCATTTATAGGTCAGTGTTTTTTTCATGGATGCACAGAAAAAAAAAAGAATGAAACTAAAAACAGGACAAAAATTCCTAGTTTGATTCATTAAATACACAAAAGAGCCATTTACATATCAGGAGACCTCAGATATATCAAATGAAAACTGTGATCCTAAACCAATATGATTGAAGCTTAAAGTGCAGCAACATTTCAAACTATAAATATAAACAGTTCCAGTTTCTGTTCCAGTACATACAATTTCTTTACAATCAATTTAATTTAAAATATGTCTTTGATACAGAGGCCATAAAATGACTAACACATGGAGCACTGGCCTATGTTGGCCCCTATCTACAGCACCCCCCATGCCTTTTTGCTAGACCTCTTGTTTTGTCATGTTTGTCCTAGACTCCTTTTATTTTTAAATGATGGATTGAACAGCTCACTGTAAATTCCTAAAGGGCTGGATACATTTTTATAAGTAATAAGTAAAAATATGATATAGTCCTAATAAGCCGATGTTGATGCTGCACGATGGCAGCCCACTGCTCCCCAAGTGGATGGGTTAAATGCAGACAGTTCATTTCATTGCTCTGTCACAGTGTAATGACAGCAAAAAGCTGGAAAAACTAATTGTAAAGTGAAAAATGTGCGATTTTTTTTATGGCAAGCAAGATAAAAATAAAACTATAAGTTCTGTTTAGATACAAGTATTTTCTTGTCTCGTTTTGGGGAGTCAGCAAGTGAAACCAGCCGGACCAGTTTTAGGATGCTAGACATGAAACACTGATCGGCTCTTCAGATTGCAAAATAATATTTCCAAGAAAACCTAAGCAGGTCACAACTAATTGTTTGGCTTCTATATGTTGTATTTCTATGACTGAAACGGTCTCCAAAGCTTTGTCAGAGATGCTATATACAGTCTGTATGCAACAGAAAAAAATTATATTAATAGGAGATTCCAAAAAGTTTAAAAACAATCCACTGGACTTTGTTTCCAAGTTTGAAGATGTTTCACTTTCCATCCAGGAAGCCTTTTCAATTCAAATGGCCCACTTATGTTATTTCTTCCTTGGCTTCAATCTGAGAATACATTGTTGATTTCTTTAACCAAACGTCTATGAGGGAGTATATTGATATAAATTTGATGATATAGATTACTTTTGTTTTTTTATTACCTTTTCTTTTGGGTTAGTTTACTGGCAGTTTTTTCCCCCTGTCTCTAAAGGAAGGGTATATAAACTTTCAAGCACAACTGTCTTTAACAGGTGCAAATCTGCTGTATTTTTGCATGACCGCCACAAGGCGGCGACGTTTTACAGAAGATGAGCTTTACACTTTTTTTTTTTTTGGTGCAATATTTGCAACCAGCAGAAAATATTTGATTACTTAAGTGACTTGACTCATGCACTCACAATTAAAGCATGTTTAAAACTAATGTTACATGTAAAAGTCAGCACATTTTGAAACCAACTTTTGTGCAAAATATCAATTTTTCCCAGTCGCTCTATGTTAAGATGTGGCCAGCATCTGTTTCTGCAGACATCACTGGAACAGGGGAAGTATGGAGGACCATCTCTGTCATATTTTAAAAATGAATACATAAATAAATAAATGCTCAATAAATACATAAGGATACAATTAATTGCCCCCAAAAATACAATAAACAAATAAATGTAGATAGAAATTAAATTATACAGTGAGACATAAATGTATATGTATGAGCTCTGTGAACTAAGAAGACGGGCCACCAACCAATGAGCAGAAGTTGACTCTCTAAGACACGACTCTCTAAGATAGCGTTGAAGACATAAAGAGGGTCAAAAAATACAAAGGAAGAATAAAACAGACAAAAATATTATATTATACACAGAAATAAATAATTTAAAAATAAGCAATAAATAAAAAAAGTTGAAGATTATAGCAGACAATAAATAAATAAGGTAATTACTACAAAGGCGAATAAATAAAGAAGCTAATTAAAAGAGATATATACATTAATGTCACATTGTATAATTTAATTTCTACCTACAAATGTAGGTAGAAATTAAATTATACAATGAGACATTAATGTATATTTGTTTATTGTATTTTTGGGGGCAATTAATTGAATGCTTATTTATTTATTGAGAATTTATTTATTTCTGTATTTATTTTTAGATATGGCAGAGTAGGTCCTCCATAGCTGAATAGGAGTCAGACGTGAATGCCCCAGAGGATGAAAAGATGTGAACTGGAAAAAACAAAACTTTTTTAATCTGCTTTCTGTAGAATGTGCACAAACCAAAGCATCGCAGCAGCTAAGATAAGGCTGTTCATACACTGGATGACTGTTTCACACTGTTGTAGATTGATGTCATTTGTATATTGTAAAAATAACCACACTGGTAAATAAGAAAAACCACACTCACAAGTGGTTTAAATAGTTAAACTTTACATATAATTCCGTTAAGAGATGGCAAGAACAATATGTTTTATAGCATCCCTGTTATTTTA